CTCTCTGTGTAGTTAAAGCTCTCTCTCTCTGTGTAGTTAAAGCTCTCTCTCTCTCTGTAGTTAAAGCTCTCTCTCTCTCTGTAGTTAAAGCGCTCTCTCTCTCTGTGTAGTTAAAGCTCTCTCTCTCTCTGTGTAGTTAAAGCTCTCTCTCTCTCTGTGTAGTTAAAGCTCTCTCTCTCTCTGTGTAGTTAAAGCTCTCTCTCTCTCTCTCTGTGTAGTTAAAGCTCTCTCTCTGTAGTTAAAGCTCTCTCTCTCTCTGTAGTTAAAGCGCTCTCTCTCTCTGTGTAGTTAAAGCTCTCTCTCTCTCTGTGTAGTTAAAGCTCTCTCTCTCTCTCTGTGTAGTTAAAGCTCTCTCTCTCTCTGTGTAGTTAAAGCTCTCTCTCTCTCTCTGTGTAGTTAAAGCTCTCTCTCTGTAGTTAAAGCGCTCTCTCTCTCTGTGTAGTTAAAGCTCTCTCTCTGTAGTTAAAGCTCTCTCTCTCTCTGTGTAGTTAAAGCTCTCTCTCTCTCTGTGTAGTTAAAGCTCTCTCTCTCTCTCTCTGTGTAGTTAAAGCTCTCTCTCTCTCTCTGTGTAGTTAAAGCTCTCTCTGTGTAGTTAAAGCTCTCTCTCTCTCTGTGTAGTTAAAGCTCTCTCTGTGTAGTTAAAGCTCTCTCTCTCTGTGTAGTTAAAGCTCTCTCTCTCTGTGTAGTTAAAGCTCTCTCTCTCTCTGTGTAGTTAAAGCTCTCTCTCTCTCTCTCTGTGTAGTTAAAGCTCTCTCTCTCTCTGTGTAGTTAAAGCTCTCTCTCTCTGTGTAGTTAAAGCTCTCTCTCTCTCTCTGTGTAGTTAAAGCTCTCTCTCTCTCTGTGTAGTTAAAGCTCTCTCTCTCTGTGTAGTTAAAGCTCTCTCTCTCTCTCTGTAGTTAAAGCTCTCTCTCTCTCTCTGTAGTTAAAGCTCTCTCTCTCTCTGTGTAGTTAAAGCTCGCTCTCTCTGTGTAGTTAAAGCTCTCTCTCTCTCTCTGTAGTTAAAGCTCTCTCTCTCTCTGTAGTTAAAGCTCTCTCTCTCTCTCTGTAGTTAAAGCTCGCTCTCTCTGTGTAGTTAAAGCTCGCTCTCTCTCTGTGTAGTTAAAGCTCGCTCTCTCTCTGTAGTTAAAGCTCTCTCTCTCTCTGTAGTTAAAGCTCTGTCTCTCTCTCTCTGTAGTTAAAGCTCTCTCTCTGTGTAGTTAAAGCTCTCTCTCTCTCTGTGTAGTTAAAGCTCTCTCTCTCTCTCTGTGTAGTTAAAGCTCGCTCTCTCTCTGTGTAGTTAAAGCTCTCTCTCTCTCTCTGTGTAGTTAAAGCTCGCTCTCTCTCTGTGTAGTTAAAGCTCTCTCTCTCTCTGTGTAGTTAAAGCTCGCTCTCTCTGTGTAGTTAAAGCTCGCTCTCTCTCTGTAGTTAAAGCGCTCTCTCTCTCTGTGTAGTTAAAGCTCTCTCTCTCTGTGTAGTTAAAGCTCTCTCTCTCTCTCTGTAGTTAAAGCTCTCTCTCTGTGTAGTTAAAGCTCTCTCTCTCTCTGTGTAGTTAAAGCTCGCTCTCTCTCTCTGTGTAGTTAAAGCTCGCTCTCTCTCTGTGTAGTTAAGCTCTCTCTCTCTCTCTGTGTAGTTAAAGCTCTCTCTCTCTCTGTGTAGTTAAAGCTCTCTCTCTCTCTCTGTGTAGTTAAAGCTCGCTCTCTCTGTGTAGTTAAAGCGCTCTCTCTCTGTAGTTAAAGCTCTCTCTCTCTGTGTAGTTAAAGCTCTCTCTCTCTGTGTGTAGTTAAGCTCTCTCTCTCTCTGTGTGTAGTTAAAGCTCTCTCTCTCTCTCTGTGTAGTTAAAGCTCTCTCTCTCTCTGTGTAGTTAAAGCGCTCTCTCTCTCTGTGTAGTTAAAGCTCTCTCTCTCTCTCTGTGTAGTTAAGCTCTCTCTCTCTGTGTAGTTAAAGCTCTCTCTCTCTCTGTAGTTAAAGCTCTCTCTCTCTGTGTGTGTAGTTAAAGCTCGCTCTCTCTCTCTGTAGTTAAAGCTCGCTCTCTCTCTGTGTAGTTAAAGCTCTCTCCTTCTCTCTGTGTAGTTAAAGCTCTCTCTCTCTCTGTAGTTAAAGCTCTCTCTCTCTGTGTGTGTAGTTAAAGCTCGCTCTCTCTCTCTGTAGTTAAAGCTCGCTCTCTCTCTGTGTAGTTAAAGCTCTCTCCTTCTCTCTGTGTAGTTAAAGCTCTCTCTCTCTCTGTGTAGTTAAAGCTCTCTCTCTCTCTGTAGTTAAAGCTCTCTCTCTCTGTAGTTAAAGCTCTCTCTCTCTCTGTGTAGTTAAAGCTCTCTCTCTCTCTGTGTAGTTAAAGCTCTCTCTCTCTCTCTGTGTAGTTAAAGCTCTCTCTCTCTCTCTGTGTAGTTAAAGCTCTCTCTCTCTCTCTCTGCAGTTAAAGCTCTCTCTCTCTCTCTGTAGTTAAAGCTCTCTCTCTCTGTGTAGTTAAAGCTCTCTCTCTCTCTGTGTAGTTAAAGCTCTCTCTCTCTCTGTGTAGTTAAAGCTCTCTCTCTCTCTCTGTGTAGTCAAAGCTCTCTCTCTCTCTGTGTAGTTAAAGCTCTCTCTCTCTCTCTGCAGTTAAAGCTCTCTCTCTCTCTCTCTCTCTGTAGTTAAAGCTCTCTCTCTCTCTCTCTGTAGTTAAAGCTCTCTCTCTCTGTGTAGTTAAAGCTCTCTCTCTCTCTGGTTAAAGCTCTCTCTCTCTCTCTCTGTGTAGTTAAAGCTCTCTCTCTCTGTGTAGTTAAAGCTCGCTCTCTCTCTCTGGTTAAAGCTCTCTCTCTCTCTGTGTAGTTAAAGCTCTCTCGCCCTCCCTCTGCAGGCAGCAGAAACCAGGTCACAGCTCCTCCTGCAGAGTTTCTGTCTCACCTCAAATTATATCTCTGCTCTTTTGTCTGTTAGTTAATATGAAAAGATCAGGTTATTTTATCAGCATATTGAACGTTGTTGTGTTGAACACGATCTTATATGTTGTATTTTCAGTAACCCTGCTGCTGTCATCACTCAGTTTACGTGCTCTCACACAGCTGAGGGCTTCGTTTGTTTTCCCTTTGAGGTGAACTGTGACGCTCATGGCTGGGGGGGGCGGAGCTCAGGCGAGACAAAAACCTCAATATTCAAATCTCATAGTTAAAAATAAAACATACCCGCTGATGGAATATTTGGGTCCAGCCTTAGAGACACCACCGAGATCACGGGACATAATGCAGGTTTTTATTGCTGATCGCAGCAGAGCGCCCTCTGGTGGACAAACTACACAACAACAACACTCACAACATGTCTTCTTTTTTAACTCTTTCAGCAGCTGTTGTAAACACCAATACGATTCATCTGCACTCAGCTGACATCAACACGGCGATTTTTGTCCATTACTTATTGTTACGTGTCTCTCTTATTGTTTGTCATGTTGAACCTCATGGTAACTTGTGTTTTCTCTGTGTAAAGTACTGAAACGTATTTTTGTGTTCTACTTTATAACGTATGTTCAGCTTGTGTGTTTAAGACCTTAAGACTGTTTTACAGCCTCAGAGTTGCTGAAGCACGTTTCAGCACTGATATCCTGTATTTAACCTTCACGTGTTCACACAGCTGAAGAGGAAAGTGTTTCTCCTCTTCACGTCGGCCTGTTTGAAGCTCTTATATAACGGACTCTGCAGCGCCGCGCGGAGATGCACAGCTCTGATAAAAAGTTTCTGTGAGCGTTGAGACACCTACACGTCCATTTTTACACAAATATAGGACGGAGTACTTCACAGGGTTTTTCTGTTAAACTGCAGGAAACCAGCCGAAGATACAACAGAGAGGAGCAGAAGCTCTGAGACTTCAGAGAAGCTGGAGGAGACGTCAGTTATCAGCTGCTTCAGGGCCAGTTTAGATTTAACAGTTTTATAAAGTCTCGTGAAAGCCGTGAAGCCTGAAGCATGTTGGCTGTCGTTATACCCACAGATCTATCCCCTAATTAGAATAAACTGATAAAGAGGCCGTGTAGCTAGTGGTGGTGATGGAAGAGTGGATAAGACACATGCCTTTGGTGCGAGAGACCCGGGTTAAATCCCCCAACGTCTCCAGAGGCGTGCGACCTTCGACATGTACAGCAGCTGTGAGTCGCTTTGGATAAAAGCGTCAGCTAAATTTAATGAGCACGCTTTTGGGATTAATCTGTCAGTCCACAGTTTCAGCCCGTTCGCCTTCCCAGAGCATCAAATATCTGCGCTTTGTCTCGTTAGCGTTGGTGTTCAACACTTAAAGAACTATAAATAACCAAAACGTTCCAGGAAGGAGGTGGCGGGGACGCTGGGCCAAAAACTGGACTTTCAGACAACCGGTGATCGTTGATGGTGTAAAACAAAAAGTGAACTCTGATCCTTTCTCTGATTTAAGTTACGTTAGAAAAGTAGTTATTTTAACCCAAATCCTGATCTTTTCCCGAATCCAAATAAACTGCGACGTTTAACAGCGCTAACCCCTAGTTTTATTTTGAAAGTCTAACCGGATGTTGCATATTTATTGTTGCTAACTTGACCGTGGAGCGCTACACGTACAAAAACGACGCTCAAAGTGTGAGAACAGGTTGACGGGTTATGATGTTAGTAATGTTAGAGCCGCCATGCACCGCGGTCAGCTGTCTTTCTCCTGTTTAAATAAACACATCAGTTAAAATCTTTATTTTTAGATTATTAGATTTTGATTAATATTTTATAATAAATGAGGTTCATACAGATGTACAGGAATTTGTGTCCAATAAAACGGTGTGGAAAGACAGTCGTTGTTTATTTTATATAGACTTGGAGGATGTTTCTCTCCAGAGACCTGACTAATGATTCACAGAGAAAATAACCTCCTGATCACTCACTGTGTTGGTGTTGGCTGCTCAGCAGGAACACACCTGTATTCGTGTCACGGAGGTTGATTGTGCATTCGTGTCACGGCCTCTGTGCAGTGACGTCGCTCTGCATCACACTGAGAGGAGCTGATGCTGAAGAGGAAATGTAGGACAACAGGAGGAGGAGGAGGAGGAGGAGGAGGAGGAGGAGGAGGAGGAGGAGAGGTCTGCAGTTACTGCTGTGAAGCCAGAAAGAGACGGACCGGAGAGCTGCAGCAGACGGATCTGCAGCGTCTTCTCCTCGCCGTCAGCAGGTATTTACTCTGTGTGTTTGTGGCGTGTTGTGGAGCGTCTGCAGCAGAGAGGATGAACAAACACAAAGGAAGGTCATTCAGCGGAAACAGAGCAGGCAGAGATCAGGAACTACGGACATTTACACCAAGTACTGTCCTGAAGTACTTAAGACCATTTCCATGTTACTGGCCTACCTGTGTTTAATCTCTTTACTTCAGGTTATTAATACAGAATATCAGCAACTAATAGATGATGAGTCTTGTTATTATCAGATATCGGCCCGATACTGACTCCGATATCTGATCGGTGACGAGGAGGCCGAGCTATTTAAATTAAGTATGCTTGTACTGTGCAGTGCGTCAGCAGCGTGCAGATGCACCCGCGCATTTAGCATGGAGAGCTAGCATAGCATGGAGAGCTAGCATAGCATGGAGGTCAGCAGTTTAGAGGTATTTCACTCTACGTCACCAGGTTCTACTGGTGATATCTGCAAAGCCAGTGTTTTGAAGGTTGGAGATAGCAGCTCCAGAAGCTTCATGCCAGAGCTTCTCTTCCTCAAAGTGAGGATTTCAGCTTGTTCGTTCTAAACTGGAGTCAGATCAGTACTCGGCATCAGCAGATGGACAAAGACCAGGTGTTGGACTCGTATCGGGACTGAAAAGGTCTTATTGGTGCGTCCCTTTATTAAACTACCCTGCAGAATCTAAAGTATAGAGACAACTACAACATTAAAGTGATAAACACATGAACGCATCAGTAATTCTGAAATGACTTATTCTGCACACATGCAGTACTTTTACTAAGTATATGTTAATGTTAACTTTTTACTTGAAGTGAAACATGTAAACAGAGAGTATTTATATACAATAATACTGTTTACTGTGTACTTTTATTGAAGTAAATGATCTGAAAACTCCTTATTCTGGATGATTAAAGGAAAACTTCCACGTCTGCGCAGCAATGCAGCGTTCAGGTCACGTGGGAATGTCTGTAATTACCAGTTACTGACATATAAATATTTTTAACATAACGGTCCAGGAACCAAACAAACATGGAAGCCTCACGTTGGCCTAAGTTCATCAATCCAGACGCTTAAAAACAAATTTATTTTAATCGGCTTTTCCTTCCTTGGACCACTTCTGATCTGTGCTGACCGAGTCGTTTAGTCATAAAGTTACATGTCGTTTTGTGTGAAACCCGTTCAATGAACTACATCTCTCGTCTCACACAATATTCGTCACCAACTTGTTAGCGCAGTAATGCTAGCTAACGTTCATTGCTTTCTTGCTGCTAGCCCTATAACGTAGAAATATATCTCGTTAGCTTCAGTGCCGTTAGCTTCAGTGCCGTTAGCTTCAGTGACTCAGTAACGTTAGCTTCAGTGCCATTAGCTTCAGTGACTCAGTAACGTTAGCTTCAGTCATGTTAGCTTCAGTGACGTTAGCTTCAATGACGTTAGCTTCAGTCACGTTAGCTTCAGTCACGTTAGCTTCAGTGACTCAGTAACGTTAGCTTCAGTGACGTTAGCTTCATTCACGTTAGCTTCAGTCACGTTAGCTTCAGTGACTCGGTCACGTTAGCTTCAGTGCCGTTAGCTTCAGTGACTCAGTAACGTTAGCTTCAGTGCCATTAGCTTCAGTGACTCAGTAAAGTTAGCTTCAGTCATGTTAGCTTCAGTGACGTTAGCTACAATGACATTAGCTTCAGTGACTCAGTAGCGTTAGCTTCAGTGCCATTAGCTTCAGTGACTCAGTAACGTTAGCTTCAGTCATGTTAGCTTCAGTGCCATTAGCTTCAGTGACTCAGTAACGTTAGCTTCAGTCATGTTAGCTTCAGTGACGTTAGCTTCAGTGCCATTAGCTTCAGTGACTCGGTCACGTTAGCTTCAGTGACTCAGTAACGTTAGCTTCAGTGACTCAGTAACGTTAGCTTCAGTGCTATTAGCTTCAGTGACTCAGTAACGTTAGCTTCAGTCCTGTTAGCTTCAGTGACGTTAGCTTCAATGACATTAGCTTCAGTGACGTTAGCTTCAGTCACGTTAGCTTCAGTCACGTTAGCTTCAGTGACTCAGTAACGTTAGCTTCAGTCACGTTAGCTTCAGTCACGTTAGCTTCAGTCACGTTAGCTTCAGTCACGTTAGCTTCAGTGACTCAGTAACGTTAGCTTCAGTGACGTTAGCTTCAGTCACGTTAGCTTCAGTGACGTTAGCTTCAGTGACTCAGTGACTCAGTTAGCTTCAGTCACGTTAGCTTCGGTGACATTAGCTTCAGTGACGTTAGCTTCAGTCATTGAGGGAAACAGTTACGACGTCACATACGTGACTTTTGGGTTTGTGGTCTTTGTAATTATGTATTTACTGTACTTAGTCACGTTAGCTTCAGTCACGTTAGCTTCAGTGACTCAGTAACGTTAGCTTCAGTCATGTTAGCTTCAGTGACGTTAGCTTCAATGACATTAGCTTCAGTGACGTTAGCTTCAGTCACGTTAGCTTCGGTGACATTAGCTTCAGTGACGTTAGCTTCAGTCATTGAGGGAAACAGTTACGACGTCACATACGTGACTTTTGGGTTTGTGGTCTTTGTAATTATGTATTTACTGTACTTAGTCACGTTAGCTTCAGTCACGTTAGCTTCAGTGACTCAGTCACGTTAGCTTCAGTCACGTTAGCTTCAGTGACTCGGTCACGTTAGCTTCAGTGCCGTTAGCTTCAGTGACTCAGTAACGTTAGCTTCAGTGCCATTAGCTTCAGTGACTCAGTAAAGTTAGCTTCAGTCATGTTAGCTTCAGTGACGTTAGCTACAATGACATTAGCTTCAGTGACTCAGTAGCGTTAGCTTCAGTGCCATTAGCTTCAGTGACTCAGTAACGTTAGCTTCAGTCATGTTAGCTTCAGTGCCATTAGCTTCAGTGACTCAGTAACGTTAGCTTCAGTCATGTTAGCTTCAGTGACGTTAGCTTCAGTGCCATTAGCTTCAGTGACTCGGTCACGTTAGCTTCAGTGACTCAGTAACGTTAGCTTCAGTGACTCAGTAACGTTAGCTTCAGTGCTATTAGCTTCAGTGACTCAGTAACGTTAGCTTCAGTCCTGTTAGCTTCAGTGACGTTAGCTTCAATGACATTAGCTTCAGTGACGTTAGCTTCAGTCACGTTAGCTTCAGTCACGTTAGCTTCAGTGACTCAGTAACGTTAGCTTCAGTGACATTAGCTTCAGTCACGTTAGCTTCAGTCACGTTAGCTTCAGTGACTCAGTAACGTTAGCTTCAGTGACGTTAGCTTCAGTGACGTTAGCTTCAGTCACGTTAGCTTCAGTGACGTTAGCTTCAGTGACTCAGTGACTCAGTTAGCTTCAGTCACGTTAGCTTCGGTGACATTAGCTTCAGTGACGTTAGCTTCAGTCATTGAGGGAAACAGTTACGACGTCACATACGTGACTTTTGTATTTACTGTACTTAGTCACGTTAGCTTCAGTCACGTTAGCTTCAGTGACTCAGTAACGTTAGCTTCAGTCATGTTAGCTTCAGTGACGTTAGCTTCAATGACATTAGCTTCAGTGACGTTAGCTTCAGTCACGTTAGCTTCGGTGACATTAGCTTCAGTGACTCAGTAACGTTAGCTTCAGTGACGTTAGCTTCAGTGACTCGGTCACGTTAGCTTCAGTCACGTTAGTTTCAGTGACTCGGTCACGTTAGCTTCAGTCACGTTAGTTTCAGTGACTCAGTAACGTTAGCTTCGGTGACATTAGCTTCAGTGACGTTAGCTTCAGTCATTGAGGGAAACAGTTACGACGTCACATACGTGACTTTTGGGTTTGTGGTCTTTGTAATTATGTATTTACTGTACTTAGTCACGTTAGCTTCAGTCACGTTAGCTTCAGTGACTCAGTCACGTTAGCTTCAGTCACGTTAGCTTCAGTGACTCAGTAACGTTAACTTCAGTCACGTTAGCTTCAGTGACTCAGTAACGTTAGCTTCAGTCATGTTAGCTTCAGTGACGTTAGCTTCAATGACATTAGCTTCAGTCACGTTAGCTTCAGTCATGTTAGCTTCAGTCACGTTAGCTTCAGTGACTCAGTAACGTTAGCTTCAGTGCCATTAGCTTCAGTGACTCAGTAACGTTAGCTTCAGTCATGTTAGCTTCAGTGCCATTAGCTTCAGTGACTCAGTAACGTTAGCTTCAGTCATGTTAGCTTCAGTGACGTTAGCTTCAGTGCCATTAGCTTCAGTGACTCGGTCACGTTAGCTTCAGTGACTCAGTAACGTTAGCTTCAGTGACTCAGTAACGTTAGCTTCAGTGCTATTAGCTTCAGTGACTCAGTAACGTTAGCTTCAGTCCTGTTAGCTTCAGTGACGTTAGCTTCAATGACATTAGCTTCAGTGACGTTAGCTTCAGTCACGTTAGCTTCAGTCACGTTAGCTTCAGTGACTCAGTAACGTTAGCTTCAGTGACATTAGCTTCAGTCACGTTAGCTTCAGTCACGTTAGCTTCAGTCACGTTAGCTTCAGTGACTCAGTAACGTTAGCTTCAGTGACGTTAGCTTCAGTCACGTTAGCTTCAGTGACGTTAGCTTCAGTGACTCAGTGACTCAGTTAGCTTCAGTCACGTTAGCTTCGGTGACATTAGCTTCAGTGACGTTAGCTTCAGTCATTGAGGGAAACAGTTACGACGTCACATACGTGACTTTTGGGTTTGTGGTCTTTGTAATTATGTATTTACTGTACTTAGTCACGTTAGCTTCAGTCACGTTAGCTTCAGTGACTCAGTAACGTTAGCTTCAGTCATGTTAGCTTCAGTGACGTTAGCTTCAATGACATTAGCTTCAGTGACGTTAGCTTCAGTCACGTTAGCTTCAGTGACTCAGTAACGTTAGCTTCAGTGACGTTAGCTTCAGTCACGTTAGCTTCGGTGACATTAGCTTCAGTGACTCAGTAACGTTAGCTTCAGTGACGTTAGCTTCAGTGACTCGGTCACGTTAGCTTCAGTCACGTTAGTTTCAGTGACTCGGTCACGTTAGCTTCAGTCACGTTAGTTTCAGTGACTCAGTAACGTTAGCTTCGGTGACATTAGCTTCAGTGACGTTAGCTTCAGTCATTGAGGGAAACAGTTACGACGTCACATACGTGACTTTGGGTTTGTGGTCTTTGTAATTATGTATTTACTGTACTTAGTCACGTTAGCTTCAGTCACGTTAGCTTCAGTGACTCAGTCACGTTAGCTTCAGTCACGTTAGCTTCAGTGACTCAGTAACGTTAACTTCAGTCACGTTAGCTTCAGTGACTCAGTAACGTTAGCTTCAGTCATGTTAGCTTCAGTGACGTTAGCTTCAATGACATTAGCTTCAGTCACGTTAGCTTCAGTCACGTTAGCTTCAGTCACGTTAGCTTCAGTGACTCAGTAACGTTAGCTTCAGTGACATTAGCTTCAGTGACGTTAGCTTCATTCACGTTAGCTTCAGTCACGTTAGCTTCAGTGACTCAGTGACTCAGTTAGCTTCAGTCACGTTAGCTTCGGTGACATTAGCTTCAGTGACGTTAGCTTCAGTCATTGAGGGAAACAGTTACGACGTCACATACGTGACTTTTGGGTTTGTGGTCTTTGTAATTATGTATTTACTGTACTTAGTCACGTTAGCTTCAGTCACGTTAGCTTCAGTGACTCAGTCACGTTAGCTTCAGTGACGTTAGCTTCAGTCACGTTAGCTTCAGTGACTCAGTAACGTTAACTTCAGTGACGTTAGCTTCAGTGACGTTAGCTTCAGTGACTCGGTGACGTTAGCTTCAGTCACGTTAGCTTCGGTGACATTAGCTTCAGTGACGTTAGCTTCAGTCATTGAGGGAAACAGTTACGACGTCACATACGTGATTTTTGGGTTTGTGGTCTTTGTAATTATGTATTTACTGTACTTAGTCACGTTAGCTTCAGTCACGTTAGCTTCAGTGACTCAGTCACGTTAGCTTCAGTCACGTTAGCTTCAGTGACTCAGTAACGTTAACTTCAGTGACGTTAGCTTCAGTGACGTTAGCTTCAGTGACTCGGTCACGTTAGCTTCAGTCACGTTAGTTTCAGTGACTCAGTAACGTTAGCTTCAGTGACTCAGTAACGTTAGCTTCAGTGACGTTAGCTTCAGTGACGTTAGCTTCAGTGACTCAGTGACGTTAGCTTCAGTCACGTTAGCTTCAGTGACATTAGCTTCAGTGACGTTAGCTTCAGTCACGTTAGCTTCAGTGACTCAGTCACGTTAGCTTCAGTGACGTTAGCTTCAGTCATTGAGGGAAACAGTTACGACGTCACATACGTGACTTTTGGGTTTGTGGTCTTTATAATTATGTATTTACTGTACAATATTTTTCTGAAAAAGGTGCCATGGTGGTCCACTGGAAGGGGCGGGACTTAGGTTCTCTATTATCCCACGCGTTCTCCTCTAGTATGGTTTGTTGTTGTAAAATGTACACGCCCTGTGCCCGCTCTGATTGGTTATCAGGACCTTAACAGGAGGCGCTTGTGATTGGCGAGCAGGTTTATCACATCAGGACGGGGAATAAATCTGTAACAGCATGAACATTTAAACGAGTCAGATGGTTAATTAACTTAAAATTTTAATCTTCGTCTTGACGATGAGCTAATTGCATTCTTTCAACTCGATAATCGTTCAGCGCCCCCACTGACAGAGTTATCCAGCCGTCACGGTGCGTTCAGGAGCCATTTGTTCTCTCACTGATGCGCCTCTAATCGATGACGTGACGACGGTTCATCCTGAAACGGCTTCATGATCCTGAGTTCAGGCTGCTGCGCCTGTTTGAAGGAGGCAGGGGACGACATGATTGGCTCACACAGACCAGCCAATCAAAGCCGCTCTCGGCTGCCTCGACCGACTTCAAATTTGTCTCCATGCCAACAGCAGCTGAGCCTCATGGGTCCTGTAGTGTTTCAGAGCGTGAATCTGGCAGAGTAGTAGAAAGTGTTACCAAGGCAGAGAGAAAGATGGATTTATAATTGAATCCAGAGCAGCGAGCGTGAATCTGCTTCATGTATCGGCGTCAGTATCGACCCGTATAGTCCGGTATCGGTGGAGCTGTGCTGGTGTCGCAGTTCTCTCACCTCCTCCCCCTCCTCCCTCTCTGCCTCCCTCCAGCCTTCACTCGTCTCTCAGCTCCAGGAGGATGAAGGGGCCGCAGCGGCTCGGCCTGCCCGGAGCGTGAGCGCCCTCCCTGGGCTGCGTCTGCCTCGCCCCCCCCTCTCTGTGTGGATCCTGCGTCTCTCTGCAGCGTCTCTCCTCCTTCGGCTGAAACATGGACGGCCTGCGCCTGCCGCCCGTCATAGAGGAGGTCCTGGATGCGTCAGGTCAGTGTGTCCACGTGCAGAGAGCTGCTCTCATACTTCACGTTCAGCTCTGTGATGAATGAATATTATTTCTGCACGTGAAGGAGAGCTGCTGCTCTCTGCTGACATCATCTGCACTTTAATTAGAATAACTACATGTCTCATCATAATGAAGGCCCCAGCTCTGCAGAGGACTTTCTCCTTTTAACACTGATTTATTCTGATTGATGTGACTTCAGTGTGAAGTTCCTGTTAATGAAACGCCTCACTTCCTGCACACGTTTCACAATAAAAGCCTTTTTAGGGACCCGGCCGGGATAAGTCCACCCTGTGGGTTTATGGAAGGCTCTTAATGTGAAACATCTGCGCAGGAAGCAGCCAGCAGTGATCGGAGAAGCAACTGGAAATGAGAGCGTTTGCATCGTGATGATAACAGCCTGAAGGCTTCTGAGCATCTGTGTGCAGGATCAGGTCTTTCCATGCCACAGAGTCCTGGTTTCTGACATCGTGTGGTGGTGTTGTTAACCAGAGGAAATGTTTCAGCGCGAGTGGCGAGACACGAGGTTTCTGTCTCACCTGCCTGGAGCTGTTTACATCAGTGTTTACTGTCCTGGACTTGATTCTGTTGTCCGTCCCTCTCTTGTCTCTTGGCCGTCCGCCTGGTCGCTCACCTCTCTCTCTTTGGATTATAGTTTGTTTCCTTTGTCTTTAGACTTGACGTTGCTTCCTTACAGCCTGAGTTATTTTATTCCCAAAACACGGCGACTAATAATAAAAGATTAATAGTTTTCTAGTCACAGAAAGAGAGATCCAGGCTCCCCTCAGTAAAAACATCGACAAAATAACACAATCAGTTTGAACCTGATTTAATCTGCTGTTCAGATTTCACTTCTTCATTGATGCAAATTAGCGCATATTAAATTAGCTGCTGCCTCATTTGCATATTTAAAATTCAGAAAACCTGCAATACAAAAAAAATATTGTCCTAGAAAAGATTCATGGTGACATCTTAGTTAAATCTTTGTACCCTGTTCAGCGTCGCTTTAGCCGTAACTTTCTGTTCTGCTTCTGTCTGAGCAAAGAACATCTAA